TAATCATGCGATTTCGCTTTCCTGTTAGGATCACCTGCAAAAATTTTAAAATTTTCCTGTACTGCCTGCTCTGTATTTTGGGCTTTAAGCTGAATCTGACCTTAATTCTACGATAAACTCATTCATCTTATTGAGAAATTGACTTGACAAAAATCAAAATTGTCTGAAATATTCAAAAATTTGTCATACCTGAAAAAATTTATCACAGTACTTATGTATCATTGACCAGTAAAATTTATCCAAATTTGGTCATCTGTGCTGTTAAAATCAGTCATTTTCTTGTTTTCTTAGTCCTGTACATCACAATACCCTCCTCTGCATTTTGCTAGCATTTGCGTTGTCTTTCCACATTGCTTTTTAACTCTCAAAAATCTCACTAAAAAAATTACTGAGACTAAAAAAGATCGCTTTATCGCGAGAAATTTTACTAAAAAAAAAATCGTTGAAATCAAAAAAATGTCCTTTTTCGCGTTCAGAATGAAAATCTTTGAGAAGTGTGGGACTTTTTTAGCTTTCTGTGAATTAACTGCGCTTTTTTTTAAACTTAGCTTTTCATTCTGTTACTCGGTTTTCAGACTGGATTTCGGCTACACGCTCAGCTTTTTTTTTCCACTTTGTATTCTTACATTTTACACTATCATCAGACTAACTTGAAGTACCAAATCTCACATTGCTGTTGTACCACATCTCACATTTCCCTGCAATTTCCAAACTTAAAAAGTTTTTTTGTTATCCTCTCATTTTGTGTATTTTGTGCTTTAAGCTGGGCTTGACCCATTCAACAAATTTAGGGAAAAAACCTATCTGTGGAACCAAAATAGTTCCAAAAACTGCAAAAATTTAAAATTGGAAAATTTTCTCACTGTAAAAAGGAGACGCCCTGGCGGGAAAGAAGGGCGAAACAGATATGTGTTATTCCAACCCAGTCTTTCTGATTCAGTACTGCCATGCATTCTCTCTAATTTTCCCTCCCCCTCCCCCCTCGTCTCCCTTCCCCAAGCCCCTCGCCAACCCTCCCCTTCCCCCTAAGAATATCAGCAATATCAATGTTAGCTCAAATTTAGGCAAGAAAACAGTAAAATTGTTGGCGTTGTTGTCCCGCTGTTGATGCACTGTTGTCGGTAGGAATGTTTTTGGCTCTTCCGTTCCTGTGCCTCAAATTTGAGTTATTTCTTCTGTGTCAGTCAACTTTTTCGCTTCACTGTTACTACTGATTTGAAGTCTTCTGGACTTTGAGTATTAGTTTTGATGCATTGAATTTCGAGTATCGGATTTGATGTTTTGAATTTTGAGTATCCACTTTGATGTTTTGAATTTCTAGGATCGAATTTGATATTCCGAATTCGAGTATCGAATTTATTGTTTTGAATTTCAAGTGTCGAATTTGATGTTTTGGATTTCGAGCACCAAATTTGTTATTTTGAATTTCGAGTACCGAATTTGATATTTTGAATCTCGAGCATCAAATTTGATGTTTTGGATTTCGAGCACCAAATTTGATATTTTGAATTCTGAGTACCAAACTTCGTATTTTGAATTCTAGGATCGAATTTGACGTTCCGAACTCGAGTATCGAATTTGCTGCTTTTGAACTTCGAGTACCAAATTTGGTATTCTGG